TTTTTTTTTTTTTTTTTTTTCCTCCTTCACCTTTCAAAACACTTTTTAAGCAAAATGTGAAAAGGACAAAAATATTTAAGATTTTCAGGTGAAAAAAAATCTCCACAATGTGTCGGCAAGCACCGTGCCCCCCTCTGCCGATTATGTCAGTCAGGACCCTGAGCTTGCATCTGATTTACACCCCCCCCCCCATCACCATTATTTTTGTAAATGAAGTACTGTCAAACCTGCTACAGTCTTGTCACATTTCACATTCAGCACTTTCCAGAATACATGTTTACTTCCTGTGTGATTTCCGGGCTTAGAGCAGAAGCGCATTTTGAGCCGTTCAGCATGGTAAATGTCTCTGCTGATTGTCTGGTGTATCCTGGCATTCTGCTGGACCTGCTTGGTCGTCCAGGCAGATCTTCCTGAGCTGTGGTCTGGGGGGTTGGTGGCAGAAATCTTAGTTACTTGTTCCTCTTTTAAAAATATGAACTTTGAAAGATAATAACTTTAGGAGTCACTTCAGGTAAAAAACAAAACCTTTGGATTTTCACTTCAGGTTAGACTTCCTTTGTTCATATGGTGTCGCTCTTTTACAAATGTAATTTAAGCTCTTGCATACAACTGAGTGCACATTTAAAATAGCAGGCTTTTCAATGTACTTTGCTTCAGACAGAAGCATGGGCCGTGACCAAAACAGAGTTTTATCCTACTTGATGTCTGAAGAGGGAGTGCAAAGATTCCTGGGGATGCTTCAGTCAGTCCAGTCCAGTCCGGTTTTATGGTTTTGTTAAGAGGGTGCAAAAACTTCATCGCTTAAGTTCTTAATTTTGTATTCTGTTCCTCTGGGTTTCTAGCGGTTGATGCATTTTATGCAGCAAGAAGGAAAAAGTCTGTTTTTCTATTGTTGTGCAAACTGTTCTCATATGCGTTGCTACCCACACGGTCATGCATGCAGAGATTATATTCTATATACACACTGCACGTTGTCTGTCAAACTACAGAACCCTAAACTAGTTTGTGAGACATTAAGCTCACAATCTTTATAAGGGTCCATAACTGAAATGATACTCTGGTCTGTGAAAGAAGGTGTTTATGCAGCTTGACCAACAAAATGTCACATTTGTGAAGGTGCTGGTTGCTCAAGCCTTGTCTCAGGCCCTGCACGTGGTGTGGGGAGTGGTCCTGCAAAAAGACAACAAAAATGAGCCATGTCTTTCAGCTACTGGCAGCTGGAGACCCAAAAAGGTTTGTGGGTGGAGCTTATCCTATAAGGTGAGCCCCTATTGGAGCAAACTGGCTCACAATCACAATGAATGATCTGTGGCCTGTGACACAACCTTAAATTACTGAAGTGCCTCAGCACTGCTGACAATTACCCAGAGGAAAGAAAACGAACTTCCATGCCATTCTGGCAATATGCATCATTAAAAATGCTTTATTTATGCCATTTAAAATTAAAAACATATGCGCTGCATTCGGGTATTTCCAAAGGCACAAGCATTCTGCTTCAGTCATAAAATGTTCGCACATTTGTTTTTTTTTTTATTATTACGAAGTATAATACAATTATGAAAAGATATACAAAATGCCATATTCCACTAATCTGTTTTTCTTTTTTACAAATAAAAATGGTAGTATTGGAATCTCAAGATCAACGTGGTATGTTTAAGGATCTATGATTTCCAGGCTTTAGTGTGAAGTGATATTTGAAAAGGTGCCATTCTGCGGAGCACTGGGAGTACCTCAGCGTTTGTCTGAAAATGAAGTGATAATCACTGGCGCAGTGCCGGCCCATGGACCTCAGACTTACAGCGCCCTGCTCAGAGTCACTGGCGCAGTGCCGGCCCGGGGACCTCAGACTTACTGCGCCCTGCTCAGAGTCACTGGCGCAGTGCTGGCCTGGGGACCTCAGATTTACAGCGCCCTGCTCAGAGTCACTGGCGCAGTGCTGGCCTGGGGACCTCAGATTTACTGCGCCCTGCTCAGAGTCTGCCTCATAAAGCAAGAAGGAAACGAAATCCCCCTCAGGGCAGCTTACAGTTGGTCTGTCCATGAGAAACTCTTAGTTTTAGATTGTGAAAGGAACACTGAAACACACTGGGGGGGCAGTGCTGAATGTCTGGAAATTCCTGATTTCATGAAATCAAAGCAGTGCAGTCAACTTCTCCTACCAGTCTGATGGCAGAGTCTTAAAGCGGCAAATGAAAGCATGGCACTAATACAGCAGACAGTGAAAGTCTGCGCCAGGAGAGGTTACTGCTACAGTAATCAAACCAGGAACACGCTGGTGGAATTCAAAGAGGACATGAAGGGAAAACTAATTTAAGCTGAATATTCTGTGTAACAACTCTAGTTGATGTTATAATTAAACATTTTCTATTGTACTGGGTCAGCAATTCACAGATGACTGACGCCGTTTTAAATCATTACATGATGGATCTCCTCTTCCATGACTGAGTGATGACTTCATCACAGAAACCACTATAACAAAACCAAAGGCACACAGGAACACCTACAGGCCCAATACCACAAATACCATGATCCTTAAGTGCAGACACAGCAGACCATACTACACCAATGCAACACCACCCACCCAACAGCACAGCGCAAGCACCTCCGGGAGGGTGGGGGGAGACAGCGCCAGGGCTGTGCTAGGACCCTAGGACCAGTGACTGACAGGTACTGTGGGCTTTAGCCAGCTGCCCATCAGGTTTGGTGGGAGTGCAGGACAGCCGCAATGCAGCCCATTTAGTGAATGTGTCTGCCCACTAAATTAATGCTCTTCCCGGTTCTGTTCGGTAAGGCCCAGTAAGGCCTGGTAAGGCTGGACCACACGCGAAAACAGCCATGCTCTGGCACACGCTCAGTTGTCTGTGGTGCTGAACAGCACCCCCTGAAGGTCCGTCCTGGCCAGCTTAGCGGGGGGCTCCATTGTCTCCACGTCCAAGTCCACGGGGTCCGCGGCAGCAAGTGACAGCTCCTGGCCCTCCTCCTCGCTCTCCTCATCTTCCTCCTCTTCCTCTTCTAAGAAAAATAAAAGGATCAGCGAGCCCCGCGGCATAGGTCTGAGCCATGTACAGGCAGGCTGCAGTCCCTCACCTTTGTCAGGATCCAGTGGGTTCAGGCTCCTGCCCAGACTGGCGAACTGAGGAACAAACGAGCATGTGAGTGTCAGAGTCACCCCGCCCCTGCCGCGGCGTCGGATGTTCTAAGGCGCCGTGCGGAGTACCTCCCCCATGACAGCGATGGGCGTCTCGCCCTTGGCCTGGGCCACCCGCTGCTCTATCAGGTAGTACATGTACTCGTCATACAGCAGCCGGATCAGGTGGAAGGAGCCAAAGCTTGCGGCGCTGCGCAAGGTCAGGTCACGGATCACCATGGAGCTGCGGGGACCGGTTAGCATTAGCGGGCCGCTAACACAAACTTACCAGGCTCAGGAGTGCTTCATCAGCCTTACCTGTAGAAGGACCACTTCAGGAGGAAGAGCTTAGCGGCTTTGGGAAAGGCGGCGGTAGCCTGGTAGGGCTTTAGGACCTGGGAGACCACCCCGTCCAGCCAGGCGGCCCACTGCTCCAGCGAGTTCTGCTGCTGCAGTGTGACTTTGAAGTCCTGCTCCAGGCGCTGGACCACCCGGTCCTCGCAGCGACACACCCATGAGGCCTGCTCCTGGAGGCGAGGCGGAGACACGGGCTGGGAGTGGCCTCGCAGAGGCACACGTGACCCGTCAGTGACACGGTCACACGCCAGCCCCAAAGGGCCACTGGGACGCACCTGCACGTTGGTGAAATCCACGCGGTTGAGGTCGCTGAGCATCTGGTTGATCTGCGTGGTGTTCTGGAGGACTGCGCGAGCTGCCTGTGCCAGGTGGTTGAGGGACGTGTACCTGCGCAGTGTCTGCGCAAACGCGCTGGCTGCCGTCACCTGGCAGGGAGGAAGGGGGCAGACGAGCACTCTGAGGATGCCAGCTCTGACTCGGGGCGGTGTGGCCGTAACACAGAAATTGTGCGGCGGGGCCAGGGGTTGCACTTTCGCTACCTTGATGCGGACCATCTCCTCGGGAATGCAGATCATGGCGTTGGTCAGCCAGCTCTCTAGGCTCTTGGCAAAATTGCGAATGGCTTGTGTTAAGGCGCCTGTGAGGGGGAGGGACGTTCTCTAGTTATCGCAACATAGCCCAAGCACTTTGGCAGCTAGATCATGTGCTAGGGTTTGACATGCATCAGATTAGCACGTTAGCATTCATTAGCATCACTGCTAGTGTTAGGTGTAGCGGCAGGTGCAGCAGCAGGTGGGGGGGGGGGCTCTCACTGGGGATGGGCCGCAGCACATCAGGGATGAGCACTTCCACCAGGCCTTGATAGAGGGCGTTGTCGCACTGCCGGCTCCAGCGCAGTACCGGCTCGTACTTGCACAGCAGCACCAGGCATGACTTGGGCAGTCGCTTCTCAGACTCGTCGTGGCCTGTGCTGGCCGCCTGCGCCTCGCTGAACCTCCAGAAGGTCTTCCACAGGGTCTCCACCAGAGTGAACTGCAGGTTGATCATCACATCCAGAATGGCCTGGCACATGGGACAGACAGAGCACAGTTATAAGGACACAGGGAGGGCAAATGGGGACAGCGGTGTGACTAAGACAACACGCACCTCACAATGCTCCCGGTACAGCAGCTGGAAGCTCTTGATGTGCTCCAACTCTATGCCCTCTGGCAGAGGTCTGCCCTGCAAGTCAATCTCGGGGAACTCGGACAAGGTGCGGGAGGCGTCTGGGTATATGGGGGGGGAGGAGGAGCGTATCAGGAGCGTAGCAGGAGCATAGCAGGAGCTTAGCAGGAGCACAGCAGAAGTGTATTAGGAGCATATCAGGAGCGAAGCGAGAGCATGGCGGGAGCGTGGCAGGAGCGAAGCGAGAGCGTATCAGGAGGCCTTCAATCATGTAATCAAAAGACTCTTTGGGTCAAATTCAATGAGCAGAGTGTGAGTGCAGTTTCCTCCTCCTAAGAGCAGTAAGATACGTAAGCGGGCTCACCCAGGAACTGCTGGTACTGCTGCACTTGGGAGCTGATGTCAGACAGCCCCGCCGGCTGCTGCTGGCCCGCCCCCAGGCCCATCCCATTCGTCATGCCCTCCACCTTCTGGACCGGCTTTATCCTGAGGAGCGACAGTGTCAGGGGCATGTGGGGGGGCGCGGGGGCGGAGTGAGGGACGCGCAGCTACCTCTGCTTCTGCGAGAAGGGCTGCTGCCTCATGGCTAGGTGCTGCTGGTCCTCCATCAGCCGTTGCAGGGAGGAGCTGGCCTTGATCCGCAGCCCGTAGTAGTGGTACTTTGAATTGCCCCTGAATCGCAAACAGCCAAAATGAGGTTAATAATTGAGCCACGATCCACGGAGCACAATCTCCAACTGATGGAGAAATGTGGCCGGAACCCCCAAATCGGCCCAAATCGGCACTCATCCCGCATGAGCTTCGACTCCTGACAGAGATCAGCAGAGTAACCGATGGGCGGCGCGGTGACTGACAGCGTGGGAAGAGCCAACCCAGTCGCTCTGGGTTGCACTTCCTATCAGCAGCTATTGCGGTGCCGTGCCCATCTCTTGCATCAGCTGCCGCTCAGTGCGTTACATCAGCAGGGCCCCTTGGGAGCTGCCGGCGACTTTGGACCAAGGACTAACTGCGCGCGTTGTCCTGAAGACACACGCGGATCCATTAGGATGGCTGGGAGCCAGGAGCTTATCCCAGGCGGCATGGGGTACATCGCTGGGGACACTGGGACACATATAAATAACTGCGGGGTCTCACCTCCCACTGGAGGACATGCTTCTGAGACTTAAATGTCGTCGTAAAAATAGACAGGACCGTGTTCACCTAATTTAAAGGGCCGGCTTCCTGGAAGCCCCCACGATGACAGCAGGGCAGTGCCGTACGTCGCGTGCCGCATGCTGCATGGTAGTTACCGTGTGCCCAGCCGCCGCGTGCGCAGCCCCATGAAGACGGAGCGGATGAGTTTCCCGAAGGAGGCGGCGTTCACCGGCTCCAGCTTCTGCTCCTGGCAGTGCAGCAGGTAGTGGCAGTAGAGGGTGGAGCGCGGCAGGCTCACGCCCTCCGCCGTCTCGTAATTTTCCAGGAGCCACTGCACCTGCGATGTGGTTCGGGGGGGGGTTGGGGGTGGACATCAGCAGAGACGTCATGCAGGCCGGCCGCTGCCAGGCGTCTGTGAGGCGTGCCGGGGTACACAAGGCAGGTATGCAACCCAAGCCACCTTGAGAGGACGTGCATCGCTGACACATCACCCTCAAATGGCATCAGCATCACCCGGCTACCAATTCCTTCCAAGCACTGCTGTTATTTTTACATGTGCACAGAAATTGCAGGCTCAGATCTCACATGCATTTTTAAAGCTAAACTTTAAGAGCTTCATGATAACCCAGAAACATGCTGGATCACAATACACTGTCAACACTGGCTTCGGTCATTATGTGGTTCCCCATCATGCACTGGGCTTAGGACAGCCCCATTACTTTAAATGGGTCTGCCTTTCCAGACAACACATTAAATGGCGGCGCCCCCTACAGGGCTGGATAGATGAGGCTCCTGCATACCTTTTTGTCTGCCGACGGCACGCTATTGGCCTCTCCCTCTGTCAGTATACTCACGGTGGCCGGCGATGCCCGCGCGTTGTGTGAGTAGTTCTGGTTACTGCTGCTGCTGCTGTTGTTGCTGCTGCTGCTGCTTCCGCTTCCCAGCACATACCCACTCTGGATGACATAGCTGCCCCCCGTGACGCTACCCTCACCCCCAGTACCACTTCCGCCAGAGGCTCCGCCCGCCACTACCGCTGGCGCCCCTCCTCCTGTGGCCGAGGGGGCGGTGGCCACAATCTGCCCAGGCCCAGTGACGAACATGGACACCGTGCTGGTGCCGGCTGACGCCGGTGCTGTCTGTGAGGTCACGGGGGTTGTGACCTGTGACCCCGAGGCGGGCGGGGCCTCGTAGTAAGGCGTGGTGACGGCTTGGCTGTACAGCGGGCTTTCGGAGTAGGGGTAGCTGCCAGAACGTCTGCGGAAGGAGAACGAGGGAACGAAACACAGGAGTGGAAAGAAAGGAGCAGAGAGAGAGGTGACATCAGAAGCTCGTATACTGACAGCTAATATGTCCATCCATTCATGATGTCACGAGTCAGTGTGAGCCTGCAGTGTCTGACCCATAACTCACATAGTGCTGGTGGAGTAGCTGGTATCTCCTTCTTCCACGTACTGCACCTGACTGGTGTACACATGCTGCACTGGGACTTGCTGGAGTTGCTGCTTGTACCAAAGAGAGATAGAGACAGTGACACAGAGATATCTGGAATGTAGGTACATACTTTCAGTAAATCACAGAGTAGCACTTTAGCTAGGTACAGTGACACCTCAATGGACTCACACAGGCACACACACACACACACACACACAGAAACACAAACACAAGCCCAATGCACAGGCGTATGTATGTCTGCGCGTGTGTGTGAATGTCAGTGTTTACTTGTCTGTGTGTATGTGCGCGTGTGTAGGTGTGTGTGTCTGTATGTGTGAATGTCAGTGTTTACTTGTCTGTGTGTATGTGCGCGTGTGTAGGTGTGTGTGTCTGTATGTGTGAATGTCAGTGTTTACTTGTCTGTGTGTATGTGCGCGTGTGTAGGTGTGTGTGTCTGTATGTGTGAATGTCAGTGTTTACTTGTCTGTGTGTATGTGCGCGTGTGTAGGTGTGTGTGTCTGTATGTGTGAATGTCAGTGT